ATACCTTTGGTGTCCTTTATTATGAACTTGCCTGCATTAAATAACTGATTTGTATCAGTCAGTTCTAAATGACTTACAACAAGTTTCTCTGTATATATTTTATTTTCTCTCTTAAGAGTATGATTTCTTTCTTCATAACTGTGAGGCTTTGATACCATCCATTTATCAGAAAAAATGTTCCAGGTCAGCTCAGTTTATGATCTGCTGGACTTTGATACCATGCATCAGAACAAATATTCTGGTTAAGCTCAGATGATGATTGTTGGCATCAGGAGCAAAATCCAGACTTCGTTACCACCTTCTTAAATCTCCACAAGCGTATGACATCATTGGATTTCACCTGCCTCCTTCGAAGACAAACAGAAAGAAACACTGAAATGCACATATCCATTGGTAAGAAGTTACTCTGGTTTATGGGTTTTGTGCCAAGTGACCACCATGTTGTAAATCACTGTAAAATCTACATGTTGTGAAGTACTGCTAGTGGGCTGTGAAGTCCCCAACGCTGCAGGTATAGAAAGAAAGTTAGACAATTATCAGCCCAGAATAGTGCAGATATCATTGATCCTACTTTGAAAGAGGTGATAGACTAGATGGCTCTTTGAGATTCCTTCTTTTTCATTGATTCTACCAGTTTTTCTGTAATCCAAGGAAAATAACTATGCAAACACCTGCTAGAGGAAAAGCAGAAACAGCAAAGTAAGAATGACAATGAGAATACAAAACAGCTAAAGGAAAGAAAGCCTGTTACCGTAGTTCAACAGACTGAGCAGACACTAAAGAAAATAAGTGGCTATTTTTTTTTTCCTTAGAGACATATGAAAGGAAAAAAGAAAAACCACGAATTATCCAAGTTGCATTAATAATTCATTTTGTTTTACCAGCCAAATTCAGATTTCTTTAAAAAAGAGTATATTTTTTCCAAAGAAGAGTAGTGTAGCTGTGATGAAAATGTGCATTTTGCTTGCTATTCAAACAGTGCCTCATTGAATTAAATTTATAAAATGAAAGAGAAAAGCACTAGAACACCTATCAGGTGGATTCACCATGAATCTTAGGTTGTCACATTTAACCGTATTTTCCAAATTAGAGGGAAATATAATGAGAGCATAGAAAGATTTAGTAAGGATAGGGAGTCATAGTGAAAACTGTGCTGAATGATGTTGATAATTGAGTGTCTTACTGAAGAATACCACACTGCTAAGACTTCACTGTGAGCACGCTTCAGGGAGAACAAGAACAAAAGTACACAATAATATATGCAGCTACTACAGAACACATATTCACTAATTAAAATAATACAGAAAAAATAACAAATCGGTGTTACACTGGGATGCAAGAAGACGAGTCAACAATTGTTGTGTAAAGGACACCTCCCTAAAAAGTCCAAGAGTGAGCCATATGCGTACTGTCTGCAAGAGACCTCACAATATTCATTAAAGGTATAGTATTTTGAAGTATTGATCAAAGCATTTAACATTTTGCATTACCTCAAAGAGTGTTACTTGAACACACTGTTCACAACTTATTTTCCAGGGGTTCCAAAGAATGAGAGAGTTTAAAGGACTTAAAAAGTTTGAACCTCATAATTGCAGGTAATACAAACTATGTAATATTCCAGTATACATTGTTCTGTATGATCTTAACCTGAAGCCTGGCTTTCTGGTAACCTACCAAATCACATTTTCTTTTTCAGAATGTTTTATTCCATTTGTGCTTTTCAAGAAAAATTTAGAGCATGTAGTTTGCAGCTACTGAATTGTGTTCAGAGTTCTACAAGTACAAAGTCCAGAAGCTTGACATACTTCTTATCTCTTCTCCTTTGTTTCTTAACTTCCTCTTTTATCCATAAGTGAACATGAACCTATCTAATATTTCATAGAAGTGGTATAGGAAGATGGGAAGGACAATTTTAGCTAAAAAAAAAGGGCATTTTTTCTGCATTGTTATAGAAAGATCAAAAGATTCTGACCAGCTACGGTTACGTGATTGTGTATCAAGTTAAGAAAACATTTATTTTGAACTCTAATTTGCAAACCACTGAATTTTTAAAAAACACTGTGACGCAGTGATTGTCCCACGTATAAGATTCACCCCCAGACTACCAGATGTGCTTGTGAGCTGTGTTGAAACTGTCATCGAGTTGATAGAGGTCTAGTCAATACAGGCAGTGGAGCCCAGTGAGATCTTTGGCTGACTGCTTTGTCTTCAGATGCCAGCTTTATGATTACTTGAATATCTTCCAGGCATCGTTAATTAAATTAATTGAGCAAGTTTTCAATGAATTTGCACACATATGGACATCTAGTAATGTATGATATGCCAGAGGATGTCCAAGACATCGTCTTGAGGATGGCAGGTAAGACAGAAAATTGTAGGAGACCCATACTGTGTTGGAGCAGCAGCTGGAAACTGGCAAAATACTCTAAGGCAATGCAGGTGGCGCTTAGCCACCTCTGTACAACCAATTAAATGGAGCCCTGCATCTCCACTCATTATGAGGGAAGCCTGGACAGATGGCTCACATGCAGGCACTAAGACTAAGCACAAAAGTGTAGGTGTCTACAATAAGAAGTCAAATCCTATTGTAGGTTTTAAAATAGACAACTTTGCAATTCTGAAAACTTCATGGCACCTGCCTTTTTTGTCAAAAGTCCCCAAAGATCTGCAGCGCTAGGTGCCTAAACAGCTGAAAAATATCTGGTTCCTGAGTTGAAAGGCAAACAAAGCGTGACTTTAACTAAGAGTTAATACAAGGAAGGTTAAGGCACTAATTCCCATCAAGTGGAGGGTGCTGGGAGAGAGACTGTCAAAAGTAGCCACAGTCTTTACGGCACAGCATTTTTGACTCTGAAAATACAAAAGTTTCTTTGCAGTTACTTGATAACAATTTCTGATCTCTGTGCTATACAAGTGGCATTTCATTATTTCTCTGTTGATTTCAGTAGGAGCTGCAGGGCTTCCAGAGTTATTGAAAATGAGGCAATGGATATAAATTCTAAATATGGATTTAGGAATCTTATTTAGACAGAGATCATAGGCTATCCTGACAATCTTTCTATAGGTGCCACCCTTTATGCATGCCCATTTTGTGTAGTATATGGTTGAGTGTATTTTATTATACCATTAAGAATCAAATAAACCATCTCATTCATTGGTCAGGTAAAGAATTTATTGTTTGCGCAGTTAATGTTCTCTTTTATTATAGACACTAAGAGTTTACATAACTGGGTATTCCAGTAACCTGTGTTCAAGGCCATGAAAAGTATATGTGCAAGTCACTTTTTGATGCCAAGAAAATAGCTTCTAACTGTTAAAAGCAGAGCACAATAATTCATATTTACAGGAAAAAAGCTAAGTTACCCTCTTTGTCACAGCAAGAAGCTTCTATACAGAGGTCAGAACCCAGAATTTCCCACTGTCTCTACTGGGAAAAACTGGATTGTCATTGTAGTGGAGTTAGGTAGGATCTATTCCAAGGAAATAATATTTATCTGTTTCGTTGTGGTTTTTTGTCAAGAAAATTGGACAGGTATTCAAATGATATATCTGTTGTCTTCTGACAGTGTTATGTAGTCTCATCCTCCCTAATATAATGCTTAAAATCCATTGATATTAAAATGTTCATGATTTGACTAACATAAGCTGTTTTATAAGATACACAGTAGTTTTCTTAAATGTCATGATGCTTCAGTTCAGTATAGTGTAACCTAACGCAATAATGAATGTAGAACAATGTATTTTTCTAGCATGCTAATATGATTGACAGTGATGACACTGACAAGCATTCCAAGCCTCTCATTTTTGTTCCAGATCTCACTTTGGATCCCTGCTCCAATCATTTATGTGTTGAAACCCAGAAGAAGAAATAGTGAAGAAGAGTGAAAAACAAAGTCATAGTGAGGAAGGAATGTGCCTGGGACACCTTTTGCCATCAAGCATGATCATCCCGTGCTGTCAAGGATAGCATTTATCCAAGCCTTACAGTAGACTGGCAAATAGAGTGATTACTCCAATAGCATGTAGTTTTTTTCATGTTTTCAAAAAAAGTGGAGATTCAGTTCATTAAAAAGTATTAAATGTTACCAGCTGGATCTTGTATGAGTTTCTCCGAATGATCGCATAGCACAGAGTGAGCAATAAGATGTGCACTGTGTCAATTTAAAATTGCAGCATTCCTGGAAAGCTAAAATATTTTTCCAAAGTTGAAATTCCATTTCTCAGCCATCAGCAGAGTTATGTGAGCTCTTTTAGTGGAAACTTCTCTTATTATTAAGCAAATAGATGCGTGTTCTGTTTAGCTGTAGCACACTTACTATCCAACAAATACTAATTTCCGCTGAAGTACTGTCAAATGTGTTTGCCAAAATCCAGCAAAAGCAAAATGAAAGAAATGAGTAAACAAGTGCAAAAAAAACCCACATAACAAAATGCTGCAAATTCAGTACATTTCCAGAGAGCAGACATTTTATATTGCAGGATATCAGCAACATGCAGCTTTTCATTTCAAACCATGTATGGTCCCAGTAACGTAGAAGAACACTCACAGATATGCTGTAAGTTTTGAGTATGTACATAAATATTTTGCCATGTATAGCCCTGAAAGAGAGCCACCCAAAAATGACAGCTGTACTTGTACTGTTCCCCTCTTTATTGCTGAGAAGCCGGTTTTACTGATGATTAGTGCATTCCTTGACCCTTTTCACACTCAGTGAAGTCTTGAGGGACCATAAATTCTACAGCAAACTGAAAAAAACTCAAAGATGGGCCTTGCTAAGGCATGGAGAAATGTTCATCAGACGAGCAGTTATGTTACAGAGTGGGGACCATTGCTTTGGAAATACGTTTTCAGAGAAAGTCCACTTTTGTTTTACTATTATTGTCTGTTAAACTGTGCACTTGCTTCCCAGAAAGCCACGCTGACTTGTCTGAATGCGCTACCTCAGAAATTATCGTTTATACTGAAACCTCTGTGTCATCATCATTCTATTTCTTTGTAGGGCCTGCACTAGACAACGCATGCTGAGTGGATCTTTTGAGGGGCAGCCTGCAAAGGAAAGGTCAATACTTAGTGTCCAGCATCACATACGACAAGAACGCAGGTAAACATGGGCAGAAAGGATGGTGTAAAAATATTCTTAAAATAAAAGTGGTGAAAAGAATTAAGTTTGAGCAATACATAATGTGTGAAAAACTGAAATGACTTGTACAAAGAACTGAATTCTTCATTGTAACCATAATGAAATTCATTTTACTGTATAAATGGAAAAAAAGCCTTTTAATTTCAAATGTCATTTCCTTCACCAATGACAAAGCTATCAATTTAAAGATCAGAAGGAAAGAAATTGGCTTATGTTAGAGCAGATTGAAAACAACTGAAGAACATACAAGCTTCTGATGTTAGCGAGAGAAAAATGATAAGAATTTGAGATAGTAGGTGACTGGAGAGCAGTACTTTATAATGGCCATCCTATAAAGGTCAAAATTTCATCTGGAGATGTATCGTTAAATTGATTATGATTGTTTCAGGTCACTGAGACATGGTTCCAACAGCCAGCGAATCAGCAGAGGAAAATCTCTTGAAACATTGACTCAAGATGTAAGTCCTCATAAAAACGTTTGTTTCAATTTGAGAATACAAGAAATAAGAATATGTACTATGTAAAAAATGCTTGTGTAAGGCTAATGTCGATCTATGATCTTGTTTGCAATTTGTCTTTTGAAATCTTGAAGGAAATCATAAAACAAATACTGTAATTGCTTTAGAATTATCCTCAAAATAATTGACACAGTTATTTCACTGATAAGACCTCCTGGTTTTGCAACACTCGCTGAGATAGATTCACTGAAGCTGTAGACACTACATTAGGAACTCAACAATTGCTACCCAGGACACCTTAAAAAGCCTTACTCTGGAATTGCACAAATCACTCAGACTGGCAAAACAGCACTTCGACATTTCCAAAGGAGGTTTAACAATACTTTTCAAACATGAGAACTGTCAGACAAAAGGACAAAGACTAAAAGGGAGAATAGTAATCATGTATTTCATGTATTTCATAATGATATTTTGTGGATCTCTGTGACTATGAAAATTGAAGGGGCGATACTAGTCTCTCCATTTCCAAACTACGGTAGTCATTTTCTAGATGTGCTTCTTACTTAGAAACAACTGCATAAGAAGTAATTAATGAATTACCCTGCATGATAGTAGAAAGAAACTGTAGGTTACGAATCTTTTAATGCAAATGTGGCTTTCCTTGTGTCCATTAATAAGGGTAACATCCAGTATTACTGCTCCGGGAGTGCTCCAAAGACTCTGTTAACTCGTAATAGTAATACTGATTGTACCTTCCACTGGATGAGCTCAGGCAACTGTCCTCCCTCCCTCTCCCTCTCCCCTCTCCCTGAGCTCTGCGGTCGCTAACTGTCTGTTCTGCACAACTCACTGCCTGGCAGCACATACAGCAAACTTGGGAAGCTGAAAGTGTCTAAAGCCTTTTCTTTCCCACCCTTTGTCCTTAGTAACTTTTATGGTTTTCATTTCAGTTTAGAGAGATTGACTGAGCTTACAGGACCTCTGCTTTTAAAGTTAAAAGTTGCATTGGATGGGACTTCACACATGAAATTAAAACTAAAATTAACCTTGATGAAAATAAGCAGCCTTGTGCTGCAGATAGAAAATACTGTATAAGATACTTGACTGAGTTGATGTGCAGTGCATTTGGAAAGATTTTTCATTTGAATCTTCCTATGTAAAATATCTTATCTTGTGTTCATCTGAAACATTAAAAAACAACAACCCTCAGACCTCATTTAAAAGGAATCGTTTTGCTTCTAGCACTCCAACACAGTGAGATACAGAAATGCACAGAGAGAAGACAGTGAAATAAAGATGATCCAAGAAAAAAAAGAACAAGCTGAAATGAAAAGGTATTTAAAAATCAAAAGTCTGAGTACACACTTTTCTGTATTGAGTATACTCTGTATAAAGTAAAAAGTATGAGTCATTATGAAAAAAGAACAAAGTATAAGGAATATTTTTTCCAGGTATGATGCATAAAATTATAGAATAGTTTGGGTTGGAAGGGACCTTAAAGATCATCTGGTTCCAACCCCCCTGCCACAGGCAGGGACACCCTCCACTACACCAGGTTGCTCAAAGCCCATTAAATCAGGTTGCTCACAACCTGGCCTTGAACACTTCCAGGGATGGGGCATCCACAGCTTCTCTGGGCAACCTGTTCCAGTGCTTCACCACTCTCAGAGAGGAGAATCTCATCCTTAAAGCTAATCTAAATCTACCCTCTTTTGCTTTAAATCCATTACCACTTGTCCTATCAGTACCCATTCTTGTAGAATGTCCCTCTCCCACCTCCTTGTAGGCCCCTCCTTTTTAGTGCTGGAAGGCTGCTAGAAGGTCTCCCCAGAGCCTTCTCTTCTCCAGGCTGAACAGCCCCAACTCTCTCAGCCTGTCTTCGTAAAAGAGGTGCTCTAGCCCTTGAATCATCTTTGTGGCACGCCTCGGGACCCACTCCAACACCTCCATGTCCTTTTTATGTTGGGGACCCCAGAACTGAAAGCAGTACTGCAGGTGGGGTCTCACAAGAGCAGAGTAGAGGGGCAGAATCACCTCCCTCAACGTGCTGGCCACACTTCTTTTGATGCAGCCCAGGATACGGTTGGCTTTCTGGGCTGCCAGCGCACATTGCCAGCTCATGTTGAGCTTCTCATCAACCAACACTCCCAAGTCCTTCTCCTCCGTGCTGCTCTCAATCCATTCTCTGCCCAGCCTGTACTTGTGCTTGGGATTGCCCCGACCCATGTGCAGGACCTTGCACCTGGCCTTGTTGAGCTTCATGCAGATTGCATGGGCCCACCTCTCAAGACTGTCAAGGTCCCTCTGAATGGCATCCCTTCCCTCCAACACGTCAGCTGCTCCACATAGCTTGGTGTCATCAGCAAACTTGCTGAGAGTGCACTCAATCCCACTGTTCATGCCGTCGATAAAGATGTTAAACAGCACTGAACCAAATACCAACCCTTGAGGAACACCGCTCATCACTGGTCTCCACTGGAACATCGAGCCATTGACTGCAGCTCTTTGAGTGCAGCCGTCCAGCCAATTCCTTATCCACCAAGTTCTCCATCTGTCAAATCCATGTCTCTCCAATGTAGAGACAAGGTTGTCGGGTGGGACAGTGCCAAATGCTTTGTACAAGTCCAGGTAGATGACATCAGTTGCTCTTCCTTTATCCACTAATGCTGCAACCCCATCATAGAAGGCCACCAAATCTGTCAGGCACCATTTGCTCCTAGTGAAGCCATGTTGGCTGTCACCAATCACCCCCTTATTTTCCATGTGCCTTAGCACAGTCGCCAAGAGGATCTGCTGCATGATCTTGCCAGGCACAGAGGTGAGACTAACTGGCCTGTAGTTCCCCAGGTCTTCCTTTTTTCCCTTTTTAAATAAGGGAGTTATGTATCCCATTTCCAGTCAGTGAGAACTTCACCGGACTGCCACAACTTCTCAAATATGATGGATAATGGCTTAGCAACTTCATCTGCCAGTTCCCTCAGGACCTGTGGATGCATCTCATAGGTCCCATGGACTTGTGTACCTTCAGGTTCCTTAGATGGTCTCGAACCTGACCTTCTCCTACAGTGGATGGTTCTTCATTCTCTCAGTCCCTGCCTTTGCCTTCTGTGACTTGGGCTGTGCAGCTGGAGCTATTGCCAGTGAAGACTGAGGCAAAGAAGTCATTGAGTACCTCAGCCTTCTCCATATCCTGGATAGCCAGGTCTCCCGTTTCTTTCTAGAGAGGGCCCACCTTTTCCCTAGTCCTTTTATCACTGACATACCTATAGAAGCTTTTCTTGTGGCCCTTGATGTTCCTGGCCAGATTTAATTCTATCAGGGCTTTTGCTTTTCTAACCTGATCCCTGGTTGCTCAGACAATTTCTCTGTATTCCTCCCAGAGTACTTGTCTTTGCTTCCACCCTCTGTAGACTTCCTTTTTGTGTTTGAGTTTGTCCAGGAGCTCCTTGTTCATCCATGTAGGCCTCCTGGCATTTCTGCTCAACTTCCTCTTTGCTGGGATACACCACCCCTGACCTTGGAGAAGGTGATCCTTAGGTGTTATCCAGCTTTCTTGGGCCTCTCTTCCCTCCAGGGCTTCATCTCATCGTAGTCTACGAAGCAGATCCCTGAAGAGGCCAAAGTCTGCTCTCCTGAACTCCAGGGCAGTGAGCTTGCTATGTGCTCTTCTTGCTGCCCTAAGGATCTTGAACTCAACCATTTCGTGGTCACTGCAGCTAAGGTTGCCTTTGAGCTTCACATTCCCCACCAGCCCCTCCTTGTTGTTGAGAACAAGGTCCAGCATAGCACCTCTCCTCGTTGGTTCCTCTATCACCTGGAGAAGGAAGTTATCATCCACGCATTCCAGGAAGCTCCTGGATTGCTTCTGCTCTGCTATGTTGTTCCTCCAACAGATGTTGGAGTGGTTGCAGTCCCCCATGAGGACCAGGGCTTGTGAATGTGAGGCTACTTCTATCTGTCTATAAAGGGCCTCATCCACTCAGTCCTTCTGGTCAGGATGTGCAAAGACCCTTTTCCCCTCTTTGCGAAAGATGAATCCAATCTGGCACCTGAAAGCCTGGTGCCGTGTAGGCTATTCCGTTATCGAAAAACCCAAAATTGTGGTGACACCACACGGAGCCATGGGCCTGTCAGTAGACTGGGTGTGTCCGTTTCTTCCAATGTCGCTTCCCACAACTAGTTGAAGAAGAGAGCAAAAAATAACCTGTGCTCCAGATTCTCTTACCAACTGTCCCAGGGCCCTGAAGTATCTTTTGATCACCCTTGACTTCATTGCCGCCACATTAAATGTATATCACTTAATAATTTATGTTCTGTCTTTCAAAAGGAAAGTCCAAGAGGAGGAGCTGCGAGAGAATCATCCATATTTTGATAAACCACTTTTCATAGTTGGTCGTGAGCACAGATTCAGGAATTTCTGCCGAGTGGTGGTACGAGCTCGCTTTAACGCGTAAGTTTATTCCGTGTCAACAATTGGTTCAGACAAGTTTTTACCTTCATGTCCTCAGAAATCTAAGTCTAACTTCTATTTTGAAAGGGAAACTGCGTATAATGTGGTCACCACGCGAACTGGCAGTCAGTTGCCTATGGTATAGTCTTGCTGTTGGAGGAAAGGAAGCAGTAAAGTGCTGCATGAGGGCAGATGTGTTTGAGCGGTCTGTGACGCTGAGAAGGGACAAGACTGTGGGGAAACTACAGACGTGAGCTGAGAGGAGGGGGTAGTGCTTTGTACCCTCATTTTTAGACCTTGGGGAATCAGCTTGCAATGGCCTGCCTATTCCCTATTCTGGGGTGGGAAGTTTTTGTACACCAGCAGTTATTCAAAGAATAGGAAAAGATGAAGAGAAATGAGTCACACCTATGCTCATCTGAAGACTCTTTAGCCCATAATTAGAAACGCAGAATGGGATGGGAGGTGTTCAGCAGTAGGAGATGAAAGCACAGAAGCTGAGACCAAGTGAAAACCAGGAAGACTCAGTAACTAAACTGTAGGTGTATGGAAGCGTGGCAGATACAGATTGATGTACAAGCAGCTTGATATAAAATCATCTCATAGCACTTATTTTAAACCTCTGTCAATGGCTGGCACCCTAATTTTAGAGGGTTAATGCATGTCCCCTTGCAAACAGGCAGCATAAGACAGCAGATAGCTCAAGGCTGTGAGCTTGGCGCTTGGAAGACCAGGTTTGAGCACCTGTTTTGCTGTCAATTTTCGTTGTTCCCTTCAACAAATTACTTCAAGGATAGAACAACAGGAAGGTTAGATACCCAGTTTTACCGTACCTATATTTAAGTGTTCTGTCACATATGTAGAAGGACATCCTTGAGTTAGTTGCCTACTTTTCTATGCAACTGCTAACTTGATTGTCGCTCACTGGTCCATGAAGCAGTTGCAAATTAAAACAGCAAAACAAAACATAAACATGAGTTCCCGTCCAGTTGTCAAATGCATGTCAGTGCCCGTTAGCATCGTAGAGTGCCCAGGGGTAACAGGATATTTATACTACAAACAGTTTAATTAAAATGTTTGCAATTATGAGAAGAAACTGATTTTGTTAAACAGTCATTTTTTAATTTATTTTAAACCTACCTACTTTATTCATGATCCCATCCAGCTTGCAAAGTAAAATATTCTAGAGATTTTTTTCAAACTGATAAGACAGATATTTTCTTCTAGTAAAAGAACGTGGAGAAATGCCACTATATACAATGTGGGGAAGAGGCATGAGCCTAAGATGCACGAGTCAGTGGGTTCAGTGGGAAGGCACTAAAACCGGTGTATTCTGTATACTGACTGGTGTAAGTGGGTGAACCTGGCCTGTGGAAGATGCCTCTTGTTGTCCTTGTGTGCATCTTGCGTTCTTGTAATTCATAACCATGAGATCTCTTCTGGTGGTAATGCCTCAAGTCAGGTCAGTCCATTTTTCACTTTAAGCTCAGCGAGGAAGTGATGGCAATTTCACATGGCTAGAGCCCTCACGTGGGATATAGGATACCTCAGTACAGATCCTGTGATGCATGATTTGCCACAAGGATTTGAAAGATAAGTAGAAAGTGCCCCAACCACTGGGGCAGGGGAGGCTTCTTGGATAGTATTCTTGTAGCTTCTCCT